TGATATAGTCTTTTTTTGTCGAATCAATTTTTTCAGTCAGGAAACATTGATTTTGTTCAGTTTTTTTACTCATTTTAATTATTTATTTAGTTTAATTAATGAACAAACTGAATTATTAATAATTTTTTAATCGTTTATAAAAATGTGACGTTTGAATTTATAGTCAAAAAATCACATGATTTACAGCCACTTTGTTTATAATTTTTTTTTAGTTCTAATGTTGCTTTTTTTGTTTTTTTTACTCATTTAAAATATTTATTAGAGCCGTAATCTACCGGGTGAGTATAAATGATTGTGACAAAGAAAGCAATACTGAATTATTGATAATTTTTCTAATCGTTTGTAAAAATGTAACGTCTGAAATTTGTAGTCAAAGTTGGCAAATTAAAATTTCAAAGTTGTCAACCAGACGCCAAAAATCACAATCATTTACGTTGACCCTGTTTATTAAAAAACAAAATTAAAATATAGAAATTGTAATTTAAGAAAAAAAATGTTTTTTAAAATTTTAAGAAAATTAAAAAAGTCTTCATGGTTTAGGATTTGAAAAAAAGGAGACTAAATGTTTTAATTTATTTATAATTTTTTATTTATTCAAAATCGTCTTAAATATTGAAACTGTTCATCTCGTATTGATTTTTAAGACTTATGGTTTGCTGAATTATCCTAAGGATTTTCTAAAATATATTGGGATTTTTTTTCTACTACTAAATTATTAATAATTTTTCTAATCGTATGTAAAAATGTAACGCCGTCTGAAATTTGTAGTCAATAAAATTTTAAAGTTGTGAACCAGACGCCGAAAATCACAATCATTTATATTCACCCTGTTTATCGAAAAACAAAATTAGTATATAATAATTATTGTTAAAAAAAATTAAACCTTTGTGTTGTAAACATTTTCAAAAAAAATAAATCAAAAACACTTTGGAGTTTAGGATTTTTAAAAGTCAAAGTTGTCAAATTAAAATTTCAAATTTGTTTCACCGTTCAGCAAAATGTTTTTATTATAAATAAAGACAAAATATAAAAATTGAGATGTCGTTGGCAACAAAAAGTTGCTAAATTAAAATTTGAAATTTGTTGCCAAAAAATCACAATCACTTATAGTCACCCTGTATTATATTTGATTTTTTCATAAATTACTAGTTTTTTCTGGTTTTTAACATAATTACACTTAACAAATGTTTAGCAAGTTGTTTTTCAATATCTTATGAATTACGACTACTAGATTTACAAATATTTGAAGAATAATATACAATAAAACAGATTTTTTGATCCACTTTAATTTCAAATTTTTTTTTTTTAAAAAAACTAATGAAGTCTTTTAATAATGTAAACCACTAAAAATAATCATAAATTCCCAATGTTCACTGCATTTTTAGACCCCAGAAAAAAGTGAACTTGTAAAATTTAAGAA